TATGGAGTTTCCTTAAAAAATTTAAAAATAGAACTACCGTATAATTCATCAATCCTACTTCTGGCTATTTTTTCAGAAGAATTGAAATCATTATCTTGAAGAGGCATTAGCAATCCCACATTCATTGTAGTACTGTTCATAATAGCTAAGATGTGGAGACAATCTAGGTATCTAAGAATACAAGAGTGAATAAAAAATGTGGCATATACACACAATGGAATATCATTCAGCCTTTAAAAAGGACATTCTGTAATATGCAACAACACTGATAAATCTTTAGGACATTATGTTAAAAGAAATAAACTAGTCACAGAAGGACAAATACTGCATAATTCCACTATAGTAAGGATCTAAAATAGTCAAATTTATTTAATGGAAGAGTGGAATGGTGGCTACCAGGGAAATGGGGAGCTACTAATCAATAGGCATAAAATTAAGATAAAACAAGATGAATAAATTCTAGAAATCTGATGTACAACTTTGTACCTACAGTCAAAATAATATACTGAATGCTAAAAACTTGGTAAAGAATAGATCTCATGTTTAGTATTCTTACCACAATGAAATAAAGTAAAATTTTAAAAATATTGCAAAGCACTTCTTTGTGCATACCTCATTGTGCAGATACATAAGTCTTTCTCTAGGGTAACTAATAATAAGTGGAATATATGGATCATAGGATATTACTTTGTTATAAAATGTCAAATATCTATGTTAGCCTGTTGCTTGTCTCTTAAGTATATGATGCTTTTGGTCTCAAAGACCTGTAACATTTTGATGGAGATTTTTATCATTTTTTTTTGTTGTTTTTGGATTTTGTTTTCTGTCTCATTTGTGCAGGCTTTCCTTACTGTTTCTAACTAATGCTCCTATACTTCCTTGAACTACTTTGAGAGTTCTACTTCTACATTATGGGCTTTCTCTTTTCTGTATGAGTTATGGATATATCTTTACTTGCTTCTGAATTAAAATGAACCGTTCCACTGATTTTAAATACCCCTTGTATAGTAGGTTCACATTTACTTATGAGTCTTTTCTGGGTCCCTATTCTCTTTGCTGTTCTCTTTATGTATTTCTGTGCCAATCCCACACTCAGGGTTTTCCCGGCCACCTTATCTGAAGTATCCCTCATTCACTCTCTACCACCTAACCCCACTGTATTTTCTTCATGGCACACACATCTCTTTAGAGTTCTTATTTATTTACTTGTTTGCTTGTAGATTACATGCTCCATGAGGACAGCTCCAAACTGCCTTTTTTAGCATGTGGAGTAGCACGCATAGACATTTAGAGAATAGTTACTGGAGGATGGATGAAAGAATACCTTCGATTAGGGATATTTGCAGTTTGAGCTTTATTTTCAAAACTTCAATAAATTGTCAAAGGAATTTGTACTATTGACCAAAAATGGATACAGAGGGGCCTTTCTACCTCCTTAAAGTTCTTCCATGTATGTTTGTGGGTTCTGTTCACATGTCACATGGCTTAAATATGGAACCCTTGGAAAAACTCACTCAAAGGGGCAGAAAAGGTTGATGTATGCTTATCATAAACCTTGGGTGCACTTCCTTTTAGGGTATGGAATTTAGTGTGGCTGGATGTAGTCACTGAATAACATGGTTCAAGGCAATCATTAATTCATGCTGCAAATATTTATCCAGCACCCTGGTGGGTGTTGAAAAAGCAATGGCGAGTAGAATAAACATGGAACTTAGGGCGGGAGGGGGTGGAGAAGACCCTAATGAGACATGACAGCAATGAACACATAATTAGAGGCTAGGATCATTTCTATGTAGAAAAATAATAAGATTTTAGTGCATGTAACAAGAGGGCCAGAGAGGCCATGGAGGAAGTCACTAATGAACAGAGGTTTGATCCAGATGAAGAGAGAGTGAAGCGTGTTGGCTCTGTGGCGTGCAGCTCTGGTGACGCTGGCAGAGGCCAGATCAAAGGAGAGTGCAGTATGATGACAAAGACAAAACAAACAACAGAACCTGTGTGGATATGGGAGTAATACAAACCCTGGGTTCACATGAGTTTTGGCACCTGTCAACTGTGTAACCAGATCAGTTTTAATCTCTTCCTCCTCAGTTACCTTGCTGATGAAAACTCACCTCATTGGGTCACTGTGCATACTACATGAGAGTCTTCCGCACAGGTTAGAGATCCGTGGTGTAGTTAGAGTTCTTCGTTCTTCTGTGTTTGTTAGCTGCCAACACCTCACTTTACAGCAAGCAAAGCAGAAATGATCACTTGTTTTGTGGATTCACAGCCTGAAACCAAGGAACAGTTTCCAGAAGGAAATTCAGTCTAATTTTTTTGAGCATCCCATGAGTTCTGCTTCATTCAGTTAAAAACCATTTTAGAGTACCTGATTTGTACAAAATATAAAGTACTCTTTTGGAGATAGAAGAATGAGCTATTTTGAAGGTAGTGACTCCATGGATCACTTTGTAACTGTGTTATGGAGGACGTAATAGAGGCAAAATCGGTGTGTATTTTGGTGAAGGGAGTGAGGTGTAAGAGACAGTCCTTGTAGAAGGAAATCCTGGGGAAGGTTCTAGAGGGGAGGGAAGTTATGGCCCACAACTCCTGAGAAAAGTGCCATAGGAGAGAATTGTAGGACTCCTCTACGAAGGGAGAGGGTGGTTAGCTAAGGCAGGGTTTGCATGGCCAAATGGTTGCATGTAAGGAGCTTGGGTCCTTGTGGAAGGACGTCATGGATCATGGCCATGGGCAGTGCTGGTTTACGGCCATGACCAATGTCTCCAAGATCTGCCCATGTGTTTCTTTCTCTGGGCATATTAGTCTGGGGACTCATTTATGGAAACACAGTGTTCCTGCTGCTGACAGTGATGCGGCACACCGAGACATATTTTAGCCCATCCAAATCATGCCATGAAACCACGCTTATCATCCTTTTGAGGTCTGTGGATCATCCACCCCCATCTTCACCATTAGCCTACTTTGGTCTTGTGTGTTTGATTAGTTTTTGCTCCATCCTTTTCGGGCATCTGAACATCTGCCTTTTTTTTTTTTTTTTTACCACTTTTTTTGAGGAGGGCAGGTCAGAGTTCTGCCTAGAAAACATAGAAAGCTTCTGTTTCACCAAAAGGGCTCTTGGCTACATTAGCATATTATTTACTCCATTCCTGTTATAGCCCATTATAATCCTACTCAGCCTTCAAGACCCTGATCAGATCAGATTTCTCCATGAAATCACCCCAGTTGAATGGAATTTTGTCTCCCTTTATAATTATGTATTATTTATAACAGTAGATCCAATGTTTGGTTGATGATTAGTGTTACCTGGTGGAAACTTCTGAATAAAATTTTCATTCTAGAACAGTTTTATACTTACAGAATCAATACAAAGATAGTGCCTAGAATTCCTGTTTACCCAATACCAAGTTTCCCCTATTATTAACATCTTACATTAGTACAGTACCTTTGCTACAGTGAAAGAGCCAATGTTGATATACTATTATTAACTATTATTAACTAAAATCTATACTTCATTCACATGTTCTCAGTTTTCCCCTAATGTCCTTTATCTGTTCATGATCATCACCCAAGATGCCATTACATGTGGTTGTTATGTCTCCTTAGGCTCCCTTAGCTGGGACTTCTTGGGACTTTCTTGTCTCTTGTGATCTTGACAGTTTGGGGGATGACTCAATAGGAATTTTGTAGAGTGTCCCTAAATTGGGATGGGTCTGATGTTTTTCTCATGATTAGACAGAGGTAATGAGTTCTTAGCAGGAAGACCATGGAGGCTAAGTGCCATTCTCATCATACATATCATATCAAGGAGATGTAGTATCAATATTACTTATCAAAGGTGAGATTAACCTCAATCACCTGGCTTGAGGTAGTGTTCATCAAGTTTCTCCACTGAAAAATTCACTGAAAAGGCCACTGTGTGCCATTCACCCTAAGGGGTGAGGTTATTTGCTGCCTCTTTAAGAGCAGAGTGTCTGCATAGATCATTTAGAATTCTTTTGAATGGGAATTTTTTCTTTTCTCACCCATTTGTTTATTCAATCACTTATTTATATCAACATGGACTTGTAGATATTTATCTTATTATACCTTGAGTTATAGTCCAATGGTACTTTATTTATTTTGTCACTCACATTGTTTCAGCTTTGGCCACTGGGAACTCTTTCAAGTGTTTCCTGTGTCCCTTTGGTACGTCCCCATCATTTTTGGGGTATATACTTTCTCAATTTCTGTCACTAAAAGATTCTGTATGTGTTCTGACCCAGGCCTGGGATCGGCCACTTCTCCAGGGAGCTCTGGTTCCTTTTACTGGAAAATAGTATTCAAAACCAAGATGGCAGCACCAGACTTACTTGCTGCTATTGTGGTGTCTGGTTTCTAGGCCCTCTAGAGACACATGTGTATATAATAACCTGTAATTATGCTATATCTTTAAACGCTCCATATGTAACTGTATGTATCTCTATTAAGCCGAACTTGAGTTCAAACTAATGTCTCAACTCTAAGCCCTTACCACACAGGTCATTTGGGGAAATTTAAAAGATAGAGAATCCCAGGCACCTACCACTCCAGAGCCAGTAAGTCAGGATAAATACTTACCTTTTGAAAGGCAAACACATTAACATCACTGACTATTTTTCTTGGTTTAATATTGGAATGAGTATCAAAGTTATGAAAACTTCATAAATTTAAGTTTTAGTTTATCACCGTTCACAATTTGGATAAGTATGTATCTTAGCAAAACTTTGTTACCTGCCTATAGTTTTGCTAATTTTAATTCCATGATCTAATAAGAGTTTGAAAATTCTTACATTATGTGATCATTGAATGTCCCACCTGATTCTTAGTCTATGATTTGAAGTCCCAGATACAGAAATAAAGACTCTAAGAACAACAAATATAATCATGCAAATTGTATTCATCAATGTTGGTAGTATTTATCTCACTCATTTCCTCTCCTTTTTTCTTGTTTTCTCACCTTTTTTGGTGGGCTCCAGGCTCCAATTCCAACACCATCTTCTGAGCTGACCTCCATTCCCAGGATGCCCTTGGTGCTGCTCCTGCTGCTGCCCCTCTTGAGTTCTGTGAAAGCTCAGGTTAATCCAGGTAAGACAGACATTGCTCAGCCGCATGCTAGAAGACCAGCTGGACATTCAAGTTCATCAGTGTTCATCTTGGGAAAGGCCCTGCCAAGGGTATCCACAGGGCTTTTATTTTTTTCCTCCTCTTTCTTTCATCTCTTTTCTTCCTTCCTTCCTTTCTTTCTTTCTTTCTTTCTTTCTTTCTTTCTTTCTTTCTTTCTTTCTTCTCTCTATTTCCTTCCTTTCTTCCTTTCTCTCTTCCCCCTCCTTCCTTTCTCTCTCTTTCCTCCTTCTTTCCTTTCCTTCCCTTCCCTCCCTCCCCTCCTTCCTTTTTCTCTTTCCTCCTCCTTTCCTTTCCTTTCCTTTCCTTTCCTTTCCTTTACTTTCCTTCCTTTTCCTTCCTTCCTTCCTCTCTCTCTCCCTCTCTTTCTCTCTCTTTCCCTCATCCTTTCTTCCCTTCCTCCCTCCCTTCCTTCCCTTTCCTTCCTTCCCTCATGCCTTTCTTTATTCTTTTCTTTTCTTTTCTTTTCTTTTCTTTCCTTTCCTTTCCTTTCCTTTCCTTTCCTTTCCTTTCCTTTCCTTTCCTTTCCTTTCCTTTTCTTTTCTTTTTCCTTCCTTCCTTCCTTCCTTCCTTCCTTCCTTCCTTCCCTTTTCTTCCTTCCTTCCTCCCTCCCTCCCTTCCTCCTTTACTCCCTTCCTTCCTTTTACTTTCAAGATGAAACATGTCCAAAGCAGAATCAGAAACTAAAGTATTATATCTGTATAACATCTTAACTATTGTGAAAGGGCTCCTGATATCAAGTAGAGTGGAGTGAATGGGAATTAAAAAAAAAAAAAAGGGAAATGGGAGAAGTAGCCATTTGCTTCTGCATCTTCTAGGGAATAGAAGGAGAGAACTTTTTAGGTGCCTTTTAGAACCTCTGTACATTGGGTTTCCAGTTATTTTTCACTGGTTCAGGCCTGTGTTTTACTTGGATGTCATGTTGTGCTTTTGGGACACTGGTCTTGCCGGATCTTGGCAGTCTCTCCTACCGGTGTGGCCATACTCAAAAATAGATGTGTGAAGAGAAATCTTTTTGTTTTCCCCAATTTTTAAAAATTAGATGTCTATTTTAACTTTACATTGATGTGTACAATTTTATCACTTGTCTATTACACAACAGTGCCTCTTAACAACCTGTGTAGTGCTGGTGATTTAGTCTGAGCTTGGTTGAACTATTGCTCTGATCTCTGGCTTCATGCACATATCCGGGAATCAGCTGGTTATTGGTTCATCTAGGATGCCCTTGGCTCCGACGACTGGGCACATTGGCAGTGCTCTCCTCCAGCAGACTAGCGTGGGTATGTTTTCATGGAAATTGCACAGGAGCAAGAGCTGGAGCAGAAACATGCGGCATTTTTCAGGATTTCATTGGTGTGGCCACGCCCAGAGTCAGAGTGGGCAGGCGTAAAGAGTTACCTAGGGAAGATCTGGATATAGGGAAGGGGGACGGACTGCTGTCCATTTTTCATGCATGCACAAATATAAATATAGGAAAATACCCATAGTGTAAGTGCTCAGTGGGATGAATTTTACAAATGGAATACATCCATCAGCAGGATCCAGGTTAGAAACAGAACTTCACCAGACTTCAGGGGCTCTCCTCGTACTCCTTTCTAGCCACTTCTCCCCACCCTCACCCCAAGCTAATTGTTATCCTGCTTTCTAACAATATAGGTTAATTTTGTCTGTTTTTGTACTTTGTGTAAGTGGAAGCAGATGATGCCTAAATGCACTTTTGTGTCTGGCTTCTTTCATTCAGTGTGGTGTTGGTGAAGGTCTTCTGCAGGGTTGCATGGAATTGGCAGCTGTGGTGTTGGTGATGGTCTTCTGCAGGGTTGCTTGGAGTTGGCAGCTGTGGTGTTGGTGATGGTCTTCTGTAGGGTTGCATGGAGTTGGCAGCTGTGGTGTTGGTGATGGTCTTCCCTGGTGTTGGTGAAGGTCTTCTGCAGGGTTGCTTGGAGTTGACAGCTATTTGTTTTCATTGTATAACATTACTTTGTGTGACTATTTTATTTATCCAGTCTTCTGTGGATGGGAATTGGGATCGTTTCCAGTTTGCATTCATTATGAGTAAATCTGCCGTAATCATTCTCGTAAAGGTCTTTGGTTGAAGTATGTGCGCAGCCTTTTGGGGGTAGACCCCTAGAAGTGGAATTGCTGGGTTATATGTCACATGCAATATGCTTTTCTAGATACTGCCAAAGAGTTTTCCAAAGGGCTTTAACCCATTTTCCCCTCCACAGTGGGGTTGGAGAGTTCCAGTTGCTGCGTGCTATAGTTGGATTTTTGAGGACATTTTATTTTGTCCTTTTCCTATAACATGAAGGTACATTGTGAACATTCTCATCCTCTTCCCATCACAAGAATTCCCTCTTCATGGGATATTCTTCATACCCGAGAAGGAAGATCAAAGATTTATTGGTTTAATAAACCCACTGTCTTACTACTTTCTTGTAATGAGCTTACTTGGTACATCTGAACTCAGATCTGAACTCGGCCTTACCATTCTTTCATTTTTCACCTCTGTGTTCCTCGTGCCCTGTTGAAGTGTGGTTGCCTCCTGCTCCATGTAACAAGCCCAATGTCACCTGCCTGATTGGGTCTCCAAGGAAGAGTCGCTATGTGTGCACAGAATGGTAGAAAGTTTTGGTGCCAGAAACATTCACAGGGACCAGAATGACATGAGAGCATTTCCATGAATACACCTAAAGAGCTAGCCATCTGTCTGGAGAACACTGCTGTAGCCCTCTGGCAGGAAATGAGCTGTTTGAAGACAGCAAACAGTTATCTTTAGAGCATTTTCTCCCTATTCCTGCTTTCAACTATTTCTGTTGGCTCTTTCTACCACAGAAAAAAGAAATAAAGTTCTTGACTTGCAAAGATCTTTATAGAAACATAACATGTTTGAGTTGAAGAACTAATCCTTCTCTCTTCCATGCCTTCTATTTTATCAAGGTAAGCTGGAGACAAGCAGTGGGAAAATGTAATCCATGTTAAAGGATATGGTCACAAGGCTTGAGGTTCATGGAGTCCTAGGGCATGCACACTGATGAACATAGGGTAGGTAGGTATATAATAATACGTGTTTTTATGGATTTCTGGAAGACTTTCTGGAAGTCCTTATTGGTGTCTCTTGAAAGATGGAAATTCTTGGCCAGCTAAGTTTTCTCCATAGGTTGGTCACATGGTGTAAGTAGATGGCAACTTGGACTTAAGTCAGGAGAACTGGGTCATAAACAGATCTGCTATAGAGCCAATTGTTAAAATATTGACACATATTTTAATAGATTATTTGATATAAAATATTGGCTGGCAAATAGTAACTGGATTAAGCATCAGACTTAACCAATAATATAATTAATCTCAAACCAGCTCATTCATTTAAGCCCACTTTGGAGACTTCATCATGACTGCTGGCATCACCATAGAGGCTGTGGAGTGGTTCTAGGGTGATAATGGGTAGTAGGTTGTGACATGATGGCAGGGGGCTGTCAGCCCCCTGCTGTACAGAGCTCTGACAGTGGCAGCAAAGCAGGTGATGGGGCAGGTGGTCATGGTGGTATTTCTGGTAGTGGCAGTGTTGAAGGCACCATTGTAGGCAGTAAAGGCTGGGTCCCCACGGGAAATGCTGACCTGCAGGACCACGTACCTGGTTCTAAAGTGTGGGCAGTGTGCTGAGCCATCTTCTAGTTCTAACAGTGCACCAGGAACCAGGTCCATTTGGGAAGTCACTGAAAAAATCTGAGGCAGTTTCCTCTGTCAAAATCCTGGCTCAGGAGTATCAGTAAGCTGTGGCATCTCAACAATGACAATCATACCAACACTTTCTGAAAAACATTTCTACAAATCAACAAATGACTTGAATGTTATTAGGACATTCTGGTGAACAATTTGCAGCTCACTTATAAAATACTATTTAATTCACTTAAGAAGCTATTTTGAGGAAAAACCTGTTTAGGATCCTGGCTTGGTCTTAAATCAGCTATAAGACACATAGCATGCCATTGTACTTCTCTTCACACTTCCTTAATCCTTTCACCTGTAGTGAGATAAAGTTGGATTAGAGGATCTGTGAGAGCCTTTCTGTCAGAAACTTACCATGCTTTTATTGTGTGGGAGCTTTAGTGCCTGTATTGGAAGATGTGGATGGGCTTTGGGCTTGGAAGCAGGTGCTTTGATCTTGCATGGCTGTTCTTTGTAAGAAAATCCACTTGCCCCCAACTTCCTGGCACCTCTCAGACTCAGGGATTTAAAATCTGAACTTCAAGACAACCTTGCCTTGGAGGTGAAGCACAAAGAAGATAGCTGATAAAAATTTATTAAAATATAAACTGTAATATTTATATTAATTATAATATAATATATTTATATTAAAACCCTCATGACAGGTTGGGTACAGAAAACCTGCCCTAGCCTACCCTGCAGGAGTTTCATAGTACTAGAAGCCTTTTGTAGGGCTTTTGTTTTCTGGAGGTGGGTCCAAGAAGAAGTCTTTCAAGAAGAGGGAATAGTGTACACAGTGGCTGGAAGGCAAGGAGAGGTACACATGGGCTGCCTAGTGGAGGGCGCTGAGTGAGGGACCCAAAGGGCAGCTTTTCCATCCTCTTGCAAGTCCTTGGGTCAAGTTTCCTCTCCTTCCCAGCTTGGGCTGGGCTACAGGACTTAAGTGGAGAGCTTGGGAGTACCTCCAGGAGATAGGAAAGTCTGGCCTTTGCAGTGAAGCTTAATACTCGGGGCTGGAGTAGCTGTTTGATCAGCCACCAAGGTCAGACTCCTCCAGGCTTCTCCTTCTCCTTCGATGATCAGAATCTTGTGGATTTCTAGGTAGGAGGGCAGGTAGAAGTGACCTGATTGCCTTGGACACAGAGCCCGTGGGTCTGAGGTCCTAAAGACCCACCCTACCAACCAGATAATTGCTATATATGAGGAGCACAGGGGTGATTGGTCCCAACCTCAGACTTGGCCTGTGACAACTGCTTTTA